CCCCAAAACCCCAAAACCCCAAAACCCCTTATCTCAATATTGAATATGCATATTGATATATTTATTTATTAAAGGAACTCATAAAATGAAGATTGGAGCAGAGGATCTATGGCCCTTGATTTTGGACTTTATTCAGACTTTCTTCGGTGCAGAAGATCTTAAGCACTTCAAGGAATACTTTAAGTTGAAGATAAAGCACGAGGTATAGTTTAATTGCTTGCTTTATATATTTTAGAATGATCCTATTGTAAAGGCAGGAGGTATATAGGTGTTGCTAGGAAATTACTTAAAACACAATAAAGAGATCTATAAGCAATATAAGAAGCACTTGAAGAATAAAAAGAAAGCTGAGAGCAGTGATGAAGAGTCAGGAGAATCTAGTGATGATGAGGATTCAAAGAAAAAGTAGAAGAATGGTAAATTGGTTGGCAAAAAGAGAACAAAGAATGATGATTCTAGTGATAATGATGATAGTGACAAAGATGGTAGTGAATCTGAAGGTGAAAAAAAGTAGAAGAACGGCAAGACAGCTAATAAGAGAGCTAGAAAATCATCTAGTGTTTCAAGAGGAAGATCTAAGTCTATAGATTCAAATGGACCAATTACCAGAAAGAAGTCAATGGATATGGGAGAATATGTTCCTCCAATTAAGGACCCAAAATCATAGGCATTATAAACTAACTTTAAGTTCCAAAGAATCAACGAGGAAAAGTTTAAGTCAATGGATGAGGTAGCAGCAGACAACACCTTTGAAAGTAAAGCAAGATTCGGTTAAGGCGGAGGTGATGCATTTGGATTATGGTCAAACGATAAGCTTAAGGATAAAGTTGGCAAAGGATTTAAGAAGGAAAAGGGAAAAATGAAGAATAGAAATTTCCATTCACAAGGATAAAGAATTGGGTATGGAGTTAACTCAGTTAAATTTTGAGAAGATAGCAAAAATTTTAATTCCGCTTAATTAATAACTTATTTAATTGGATAATTCTAATTCAATCAAAAATCAGCTTCAGGGGTTTTGGGGTTTTGGGGTTTTGGGG